CCAATCATCATCTGTAAACCGGGAATCCGCCATTCGGGCCTACAGAGCCACAGGTGACAGTGTCCCTGAGGTCCCCAGTATGGAGACAAGAGGAGACCAATGGTGATTCTCAACCCCACAAGACGTCACAGGAATTCCTCAAACAAACCCTTCAAGTAATCATTAGCATAGACTTTGTTTCCCTATCAGACACTTACACAGCTTCTACTCTCTGCAGGTGTGGCTCGAAGCACTTAATTAATTTGTGGAACCCTTCTAATAATTCTGAGGGGTAAGGACTACCATTCCGCTCCTMTCCCAGAGAGGAAACGGGGTAGAGCAGGGCTGGGACTCAGGGGTGTGTCTTGTGGCCCTAGATCCGAGGCACCAGAGGAACTCTGGGGCTGATCACTGTGCTAAGGACAAGTGTCAGGTGACCCAGCAATGAGAGTTCCCTAGGTTTACATCAGGCCGTCAAGACCAGGTACTTCAGAAAATAAGTCCACCTGCAAACCATTTGCAAGTGACCTGGGTAGCAATAAAGGAAAATGAATCACTGTTCAATTCCTGAAATACTCTTTCTGAATTTTGAAAAATTTTCAGAAAAATTAATCCCTTAYAAGGAAGRCAATCACAGCGGGGAGCCGGGGCGCAGGCCCGTGATCYCAGAGACTGGGGAGGCTGAGACAGGAGGATCCAAGTTTGAGGCTAGCTCAAGAATGTAGCAAGGCCCTCATCAATTTAAAAAGACCCTGTATCAAAAATTTAAAAATAAAAGGACAGGGCTGTGGCTCAGTGTTTGAGTTTAATCTCTAATACTCCAATAAGGGGCGGGGACAAAGAAAACCACCACTCGGTGGCAGATCTGAGCCTCCCAGCCACCCAACTGACACAGGGATTCAGGAGAGAGATGAATGTAGACTCCTCAAGGAGACACCACAAGCCACTGAGATTCAGAAGGCACAGCTGCAAGCCCTGGCCCACGCCCCGTGAAATGAGGGAAATATGCAAACCCAGGAAAACCTGGGGGAAACTGTGTAGCCCCACCCGGGCTCCCCGTCCAGCCCAGCTCGGACGCAGCCCCCCTGTAAATGTCAGCTCCAGCCCAGGCCAGGGCTGCTCCCACTCTCGGGCAGCCTGTGCCCGCCCRTCCTGCATCACCCTGTCTCTGCCTCTGCCTGGCTTGTGCTGAAAGTCTTTTTGGCCATGTACCACGCGGGACCCGTCTCCCCTGGGAGCCCCGCTGACCCTTCTCAGGAGACATCTCCTGGGATTTAATCACTTTTCTCCGCGCTGGCTAAGGCGATTCCTAAAGCAGCCCCATGTGGGGGGTCTGCTGTATCCAGATTTCAAGTGAAGAGACTGAGGCACCAGCAAGTGACGGAGGAGTTGGAAGCTGAACCCCTGAAGTCGGTGACCGTCCTCGGTAGGTTAGCCTCAAAGGAAAGCAAGGTTCCCACCAGTGACCTCTCCAAGTGAGCCTCCCCAGGGTTCAGTGTGTCTACCGCCTCAAGCACACACAAATGGCGCGTCCCACTGGCCCAGCRTGGACTCTGTCCACTTCTGGGCCCAGCAGCCGGGACCCACCCAGGTTGTGCTTCATCTCGGAGAGCTCCTGCTGGTGCAGCCACTGCAGCTTCTCGATCTCGATCCTCAGCCTGCGGATCTGGAACGAGAAAAGCAGGTTCTGACAAGGCCCTGAGTGGGTCCAGCTGCTCCCCAGCAGGCCCCAAGAGCTCAGCCTCTCCTGACCGGAAGGGTCACAGGTGCCAGGGGGCTGACTCGGGCAGCCAGGCTGGGCGCTGACCTTCTCCCAGCACCTGTTGACCCAAATTCACGAGCAATGCTGGCTCTGAAGACCAGCGGAGCCCCAGGTTGACCCAAATTCACGAGCAATGCTGGCTCTGAAGACCAGCGGAGAGCACCACCTACCACGGAAAGACCCGGAACTAGAAAAAGCCACTTAGAGAGAAGGACCAAGTCCCCCAAACAAGACATCAAAAGTCTGGATAGAGGYGGGCACAGTGGCACAGCCTGTGATCCCAGAGGCTCAGGAAGCTGAGGCAGGAGGATGGCAAGTTCAAGGCCAGCCTTGACAACTAAGCAACACCCTGTCTCAAAGTAAACGGAAAGGCTGGGGTGAAGCTCAGTGTCAGAGCACCACTGGGTTCAATCCCCAGCACCCCAAAAATAATTTTWAAAAATTTGCATTTTTGTCTAAGAAAATTAAATAAAGGTAGCTGTGACTTTTCACCTAATAAAACATCCTGGTGGAATCCATGATTATTCATCTGAAATTCCAAAGCCCAACATCTTTGAAATGAAAGGGTATCTTGGGGGGAGGAGGATAACCAGGATTTGGACCATATTGATTTAATGGGAAAAGTAAGCTTGGACTGAATTGATCTGAGGGTTTTAGTCATCAAGCGGTTTGGTCACACATGACAATGCCAATGTGGACTCACTTTGGTTGTCACAAGTGAGGATCACTACTGACACCTAGTGGCTAGACGCCAGTGGTGCTGTGAAGGTCAGTCCCCAGCACAAAGTCACAGGGGCTGAGGTTGAAAACTTCTGATTTACCCTCCGAGGGTGAACCACCTCATTTCAGTGCCAAAACCTCATGTCTAGTGGGCGGGGAGGGGGCTGGATATCACCCTCCAAAATGGGAAAAGAGGTGCGGCCCCCATCTGACCAGGGTTTCAGGTGAGACACTAGGAACCCGCTCACCCCCAACCACAGGYGGGTTCTTAAAAGGAATTCCTAAACCCACTCCTCCTGACCCTTTACGTTCACACAGTTTTCCTTCAGAAACTGCCAGGTCCCCCCTTCTTGTCTGAGCAAAGCCAAGAACCCTGTCAGAGGCTGTGCATGGGACCCCCACCTCCATCCTCACCCCTCAGGACTCCGGACACCCTGCCACCTGCACTTCACCTGGTGACCTGGCCACACGCTGTCCCGGCCACACAGCCAGCAGCGCGTTCTCCAGGTCTATCGGCCAGAGAGGGAATTGTGCAAACTGCACTAGAGAGTCCCTTTCCCAGGGGACAGTTGATGCTTCAGCAGAAGTCTGAGGCTTCCCTGGGTCACCTGAGCATTTCTGAATGCAAATGCGTACATYACGACTGCAGAGGCCCAGGCCCACGGACAGACCACGGCGCGGATGCGACACGAAGCGGAAGGACGGGTCTCCSGTCTCACCCACAGACTAACTCCGGCTCGGAGGGGGCTATTCGTCACACCTGGCCAAGGGGCACAGCTGCTGGCCGGGCATCGGGGGGGAAGTAGCCTGCCCACCCCTCAGACGGCAGGGGCCGTGGCCACGGATGCAGGCCCGGGGGCCGGGCAGCCATGCACCAMGGCACCCTTAGAGCAGCCTCTAAGGTCCAGGGCCAGTAAGGAGTCCTGTCACCTCTGACCTCAGCGATTGTGCTTCCTGTCGTGTTCTTGGAAAGGTCGTTGTATATTTCTGTCATCGTCCCTTTTATGGCATCCATCATCTGAAAGATAAGGAAAGACCATCCAGTCACCATCGGCGGCTGCTCCAGGCCACAGAACTAACACGACATGGAGAAGGCCGCCGTGACCGTGTCCCTCCCAGTCACTGGTCCTCCTGCCCTGGAGACTAGTCCACAACTCTCATGCTACTTCTGCACCCGCAGACTGAGCCGGAGAGGCCCAACCGGCCCACGGGTGGGTGCTGCCTCACACGGCAGGTTTGAGGGAGAGGGGGTCTCGTGGCTGTTGTCGGGKTCTCACTCCCTCTCTCTCAGGGCTTGGAATGAAATCCAGCGGCTCGYGCATAGCAGGCAAGTGCTCGACCACTGACTTCCACCCCAGCCCTGATYGATTCTCCTTTTAAAAACACGTTTACTAGGGAAGCTGAGGCAGGAGGATCACAGGTTAAAGGCCAGAGAGTGAGGCCCTGTGTCAAATTTTTTTAAAAATAAAGAGGCTCAGTAGTAAAGTGCCCCTGTATTCAATTCAATCCCGAGAGAGAGGGGAAAGAAAGGGAGAGAGAGAGAGAGAGAGAGAGAGAGAGAGAGAGAGAGAGAGAGAGAGAATCCACAACATACCATGTAAACTGTATATTGCAATTTTATTAAAATGTAAATTTATTCATTTTTAACATTTTTAAGTTGTTGCCAGACCTTTATTTGGTTTATTTATTTGCAGTATTGAGAATCAAACCCAGCGCCTCACACATGTCAGGCCACACCCCCAGCCCCTAATGCAGTGGTTTTTAGGGACTGAGTGGCCAGGGTCATAGCTCAGTGACACGATAGTCCACAGCATGTTTAACAGGCACAAGGGCCTGGGTTCAGTCCCCAGAGCACGCTCAAACGTGCACACAATGGCTTTTAAAATATTTGAAGTGACTCACTCATCACTATAAATCAATTCCAGAACATTTTCATTATGCCCCAAAGAACGCCCGCTCCCCATTAGTCTCCACCCTCCAATGTCCCCATCCTGCACCTCCCAGGTCTCTGACAACCCTGGCCCTTTTCTGGTACTAGAGGCTGAACCCAGTCAGGGGCACTGTCCCTCCGAGCTCACCCCCAGTCCACTTTATTTCTTATATTGAGGCAGGGTCTCACTAAGTAGCCCCCTCGGGCCTCAGACCTGTGCTCCTCCCGCCTTGGCCTCACAYTGCCGCGGTCACAGGCGTGCCCAGCTGTCCATCAAACCCCACCTGCCCTCTCCCCTACAGGTTGGCTTGTTCCAACCCTTTCCTGTAGATGAACTTTGCACCACGCAGGCCCCGGTGCTGGCTCGAGGCCTGCCCACCTGCAACGTCTCATTCCTCTGCCGCTGCCAGGTGGACTTGGCCATTCGCCATTTTAATGCCCTCAGCCCGGGCACTGCCTGCTACTTCATTCCCATCCTCTTTCCCTTTAACGAGTCTCTCCAGGCACCGGTCAGCCTGTGAAACCAGCCAGGGCATTGTGGCAGCCACCCAGAGACGTGCTGACCAACTGTGTCTGGGGGAAGACCTTCTCTCCTCCTTCCCCGCCACAGGGGCCAGCAGGGGTCAGGAGCGAGGTCTGTCAGGCCTGCTCTGACCGCGGCCAGTCTCTCCTGGGCTTTCCCAAGCTCCAGCTCAGAGGGAAGGCGGGASAAAGGACACCCTGCCTCCAATGCCTCTGTCTGGCCATAGTTTCCTCACCTTCCCTGGAACAAGGCCAGGTGCCAACAGAGCGCCCGGCGGGGTGTGCACAAGGGACTGGGAAAACCAGGCCAAGGCCGCCCCGGGCCTGCCCACCAGTGGGGAGGTGGCCATAAAGGAAGGCCTGTTCGAATTCCGTTTTGCACAAAAACAAATCCGTGTAGGGACGCAACTGCATGAGAGCTGGCGGGCCCCAAGAGAGGAACCCCAATTCACCCCAAAATGGGAGTCAAATGAGTGGAATATCTGTTGCGAGTCCCGCCCTCYGCAGGCTGCCGCCAGGGTACGCACTTTCTGCTGGGCGTGGTTCCCAGGGGGTCTTTCTTCACRGACCCCCGGACTCTGCTGTCAGGCACGTCCACAGAAAGCCCTGGACCAAACGGCCTCACGAGAAAATGCGGGGCAGTGGGGAAACTCAATACCCGCGAAGGCAACGCTGACTTTGCATTTTACAGATGGATTGTGGAGTGACTTCCACACCCACTTCCAAACACAGCCCAGACCTCGGAATTAATAAGGAAGGCATTTCTGCCAAGACACAGAAACCCGGGCCTCCAAGGTCAGGTCACCTCAGAGAGAGAAGAGTTCATCAGGAACACCCCACCCCCACCCCCAAAGTGACCCTGTTGGTTCTTTTCAATGGAAACAGGTCCTGCCTCAGGGGAAAGGGGACCGMAGGGGGCGGGGGAAGGCCCACGGCCACAGGAGCCGGGAACATGGGCTTAGTGTCAGTGACAAGCCTGACCACCGGCCGGCCTCAGTTTACCTATCTGTAATCAGCTGGGACCCGATCACAGGAGGGGGACAGCAGGGACAAATGCACATTGAAATACACACAGACAACACCAGACACCACCTTACGTCGATCCTCAAAACACGTCCCCATCAGCCTCTTCCAACCCCCCAGAGCCGTCAGCAAGAGAGGCTCCCGGGGGTGGGGGCCGCCACACCCCCGTCAGTCTCCCTCCAGGTCCAAGCCTTGACACAAACAGTATCTGGTGACATTAAGCTTCATTTACTTAGGTTTTTAAACTGAATGGATTTAAATAATAGGAATTAAGTTTAAATAAAAATATTAACTCAAAACTGGCTCAGGCCATGAACAGGCCAGAAAACCATCGCGAGTGGCACGTGGCTGACCCTGGAATCCTCCCTGTTCRGAACCTCGGGGGCCCTGAAGCCCTGGGTCAGCTGTCCTCGGCTCCAGCACTCAAGGAAAGCCTGTCCTTCGTGAGCAGCCTGAATGCCAAAGGGGACTGCAGCGCCTGGTGGATTTTATGGGCTGGTTTTAGGATCTAAGCCTTCCTGGCGTGAGACTGAGTCCGCCCTGCARTACCCTGCCGAGAACGGACTTCAGAGCCAGGGCGGATCTGGGCCGGGAGCAACAGGGTCCTCTGCCCGGGCCCCCCGCCGCAGCCCACCCGGCGCCCACCACTCACTTTGCTCGTGTACTTGGCGATGTCGGCGGCGACGTCGGCCGAGGCGGTGGCGATGGGCAGGTCGGCGCTGACGGACGACGCCAGGGTGCTTGTGCAGCCCGAGCTGCTGATCAGGGGGGAYGGCTGCGTGCTGGTCACCAGGGTGATGGTGGACGTGGACGGGCTCTGCGTGRCCTCCTTCTGCTGGACAGCTGGGAGAAGAAAGGGTCCCGGTCACCCAGAAACAGGCAGGGCTGTCCCAGCACAAGGCTGCGGTGACAAGTGCAGCCCGGCCCTTGACGCACCCTGTGGGCTTTTCTACTCTACAGTGGCCACAGGAGCCGGGCTGGGTCCCAACCCCAGGAGAGACACTTGAGCAAACATGAACCACCTGAGAGCCGAAGGTTGGGAGGCAGCCCTGGTACCCGAGTGCCCGGGGCAGACGCCAGGTGCCCAAGGAACCCCAGCTGGTTCCGACCTGCAACCGGGCTCTGAGGGGGCTCTGTCCTCCGGCCCCACACCACCCTGGACAACCCAGCCCTTCTACCCCCATACTGTSCGACTCTCCTGAGCCCCCACTTCACCCTCCTTGCTCCCTCAACCTACCTACAGGCCCCAAACCTCCACACAGGTCAAAGCAGAGGTCAGTTCACCTGGACTCCCTGTCTAGCACACCAGTGTATGACTGATTACACCTTAACTMATGGTGCGGGAGTGCCCAGCTGATTCAGGTGTGTCTTACCACCTTAACTAGTGCTGCAAACATGCCATCGGTCTTTGTGTCACTTTATTTTGATAGAGACAATTGGAAAGCCGAGGACCATAATGTCCACCAGTCTTTCTGGCAGCACCAAGCCTCCCCTGGGGAAGGACCATCTGCTCACGGGTAGGAAGACAAGACGCACTCATCCTCATCTCCAGCAACCTAGATCCAGCTCTGTCCCAACAACTGTTCTTTTTTGTACCAGGGATTGAACTCAGGGACACTGGGCCACTAAACCACATCCCCAGACTTATTTGGTATTTTATTTAGGGACAGGGTCTCACTGAGTTGCTTAGCGCCTCGCCTTTGCTGAGGCTGGCTTTGAACTCCCGATCCTCCTGCCTCAGCCTCCCGAGCTGCTGGGATTACAGGTGTGGGCCACCGYGCCCAGCTCCAACCACGTTTTAAGCACTAGGTCACTTCAACTGTCTTCCAATTGACCTCTCCAGTTTTCCTCCTTCCTCTCCCGTTCCCCAATCTTAGGGTTACATGAGGCTCCTCTGAGGTCCAGCGAACTTTTACCTTGCATCCTGCTGCTAATCAGAAGCCTGCTCACCAGGGTGCACTCACTAGGAGACTTTCAATCAGGGKCCCCACCTTCCAGGATCTGGAGGAGGTTCCCCGAGGAACCAGATGTACCCCAGCCTCACCAACCTGGGCAAACTGACCCTGGGCAGATCAGCCCTCTGTGTGCCCTGACGTCAGCTGCAGATGGAGCGTCCTGCTTTCTGGTGGGAGTTTCAATTCTGCAACTTCAGCAAGCAGTTCCTGCCGCTGGCCTATCTCATGGGTGTGGCAAATCCCTGGTTTTTAGAGTAAGCTTTGCTGTCAACCTCTTACACCTGACCGTACTCTTCCCAAAACAAGGCCAAGGGCTTTGCTCATGTGCCCATGGAAACACTACACAAAGGTACAACTTTCTTTGCAGCACTGCTTATGGCACAMAAAAAAATGGAAGTAACCTAAGCCCACCGAGAAGAAAATGCTTTACATAAACTAGGGAATACTACGCAGCAGTCCAAAAGAAGAAGGCAGGGCCGTATGCTGGGACACAGGCAGACCTCGAAACATGCTGATGGGTGGGGAAAAAAAGCAAGTATGGTACCATTTTTATGTCTTAAAAAAGAAAAAAAGGGGAAAATAAGTACTTTTATGGTGTCGTGTGTGTGTGGGGGTGGGGGGGTGTGTAGATACTTGTGCGTACATGCATAGGAAAGGGTTTTRGGTGACTGGTCGTGGCTACCCAGGAAGGAAGGACAATGAAATGGAAGGTGAACGGGACAACACTCAACAAAATTCTCTATAAACATCCTGTCCCCTTTCTGAGGAGAAGAGAGGCATGTATCACCTTAAAAAAAAGTTGATTTTTTTTTTTAAGTGAAAAAGTGAGTTGCAAACCAACTTCAAAAAAAAATAACACCAAATGGAACGTGCGAGGCCCTCAGGACACGATGGCCGGGACACAAACGGGAGGGAAAAATAAAACGGCAATGGTGTTTGTCCTGTCCATGTGGCAACGGGAGTGGGCGCCACGCAGAGCAGAAGGGGGCTGTACCTTTCACAGCCTGTCTGGTCTGATATCTCGTCCCCTGGGAAGACTGAGGCTGCTGCTGCTGGCTGTGCTGCTGCTGCTGCTGCTGCTGACGCTGCATCTTCTGCATGTGCCACTTTTGGGAGGACGTTTGAAACTTACTTGATGAGTTCCACACGACCCGCTGCACGGCCGGGGCAGTCTCCTTCGGTAAGAGCGGCCTCTGCTTTTTCACCGGGCTTCCTGTGACGGCCGGGGCCGGCGCGGTGACCGTGACGGTGGACGTCGTGCTGGTGGTGGCCGGGACGCTGGCCACGGGGGTTTGGGAGGAGGAGCGGGTGGGCACCGGCGTCTCGGGGGGAGACTGGCTGCCGGAAGTCGTGGACGGCGGCGCTTTACCGACGACTACAGCCAGGGCGTGGAGACAGACAGACAAACAGAGCAGGTTGGACTCGGTTCCGGCAGGGACCKGCCTTGAGTTCTGGGCAAAACCCACCAAAGCCAGGGGTGCCCAGGGAGGTCCGCACCAGGCGCCCACCTTCCATCTCTCCTCCACTGAGCCCAGCTGGCATCCAGACCCAAGCCATGACCCCTGGGGGTCAGGAGGTGAACACGAAGCAGTGGGCGACAGAATCCCTGCAAGTGCTTGTCCGAGAAAGGACTCACTCCAGAGGGGCAGGGGAAGCCCTTCAGCTAGGGATCCCCTAACACCCGCACCCCAAGAACCAGAGGGCCTCTCCTCTGCCAAGCACTGAGCAGCACGGAGCCACCACCCAGGAAGAACAGCCCCCYCTGTCTCTTCCATCCCCTCCAGGACAACGTCCCAGGGAGGTGCCGACACTAACAGGTACTCTGCCCCACCCACGCACGGCCAGGACCTCCCCAGCACCGTCACTCTGCGAGGTTTAGCTCTGGACGTCTGCCCGCCCCGCCCGGCCGTCCCGTGTCCACGCACACAGTCCAGGCTCTCCTAGTGTGTGGTGGTCAAGTGGAACGTGTTCACGTCTTTTAAAATGAGTTTCTTTTAATAAAAATATTGTCAACAACTACACAGGCAGGACTTGAGAMTTACAAAAACCGGGCACGTGAAGGCCTGAGGTGGCGCCCGCTGCCCTGCGGTCTTCCTGCRGGCAGAGCGAGGACAGAGGGAGGACAGAGGGAGGAGCCCGGGCCACGACAGGGCCACCGTGGTAAGGAGACAGCGGGCCAGGAGCACTGAGAGAGCAGGGAGCTCGTTCAGCCAGGGGGTTGGTCATGGCCACCGAAGTCCCAACCGTGGATTAGGTGGACTTGGCCCCAAGAGGCCATCAGGGAACACATGCAAACACGGGTGCGGGTCCACCGCCCCTGACCTCAGACTCCTCATATGAAACACGAGAGCGTGATGCAGGGAGGACGGTCAGGACGCCGTGGGGTTTAGGAAGCTGAGGGACAGCAGCTGGCCGACTGGGGGCAGGCCTGGGGCAGCCCTCCTGCTTCCCTGGAGGGGAGCATTCAGCCGGCTGCTGGGCATCAGCCCAAGTGGGGCTGGGCGGGGTCTCTTCCTGCAATGAGGGGTCCTTCCTGGGWGACCTACGAGTACTGGACACAGCCCCTGCCCTTCCAGGTACACAGGAGGCATTCACCTGGGCTCTACTGAGAGCCGGGCAGAGGCCTGGCACAGCCGGGCTCCCACCTGCAGAAGCGCATTCATTCAAYGCCTCCCTCTCTGCCAACGACAAAATGTGTGCATCGCTGGGCGCTGTGGCCTGCGTGCCCCTGCCAAGGGCAATGCCAGAGGGTCACTCCCTCCTGATTTACAAGGGCAAACTCRCAGCTGTGCGGTGGGGCAGTTGCTCTGCAAGGGTCACGCTGCTCTTCCTTCAGGAAAAGGGGTGGGGAGCCCCAAAAGTCTCCCGCCTCCAGCTCCCCACGTTATCATTTAGGCAAATTTTAATTTCTAGGGTATTCTGATGACTGGTGGGGAGGAATCTCAAGGAAACTTCACKGGCTAGAAATCTGAAGTATAATATAATCACCCAAAATTCATCCCAAAAGGGTGAAGCCCTTAAAGGGCCGGCACCCCGGGAGCTGCCCATTCAAATTCCCTGACATATTCCAGAACCTGCCACCCTGCATTAGCATCCCYGTGGGGAAGGGTGACAGGACTCCCGGGCGCAGCAGGGAGCAGGGGTCTTTAGGGGCTCCCTTTGCTTCTGATCAGAGCGTTTCTGCTCTGAAGGTACCTACTCCACCACACGCTGCACTCCACGCCGAGGGTGAGCGGGAGTCCCCCCGGCACCGTCCCAAACGCCCTTCCCCTCAACTGAGCASAAGCAAAGGCACTTGGTGGGGACCCTGCCCCACTGCAGAGCCCAAGACTGAGCCTTCGAGACCCGAACCACCATGAGACTCTGGATTTAAGATCATTTGGTTTTTCCTAATCGCCAAGAAGCTGCCAACTGAACTGGGTTCTAGAATCTTCTGCTCAATCATCCAGCATCTACTCAGGGGCTCCAGGAGAAGTTTCCTGGAGACATCAGCATGAGGAAAAGCTCTATTTTTTTCAACAACTGGATTCATTTTGAGTTTTTGGAGAGTGTGAGCTCTTTTAAGGATCTCTTCCTTTTTTGCTTTCAGGGCCAGGAAGCTCAGAGCCCAACTCTAAGCGCTGATAGCACGTGCTTTTGCCTAAAACTGTTGCCCAGTTATTCTACCTTCATTTCCCTTTTACACTGACTGCTCTATTTTCTTTCTGTTTCATGGTTATGCATTCTTGTCAATCTGCTGCAAATCCTGTCTGGAAGAGGAAGGGGCATTGAACGAATCAAAAGGCCTGTTCCAGAAAGAACAGAACAGTCTGAATGTGCCTCAGGAGTCCTGTACCACCTACACCCGAATCACACTTCCACCATCCTCACGGAACAAATGCCGCTGCCCGTGTTCTCTGCAACCATAAAGAGCAGCCTCTCAGAGCTCAACGCCTGACGTCACTGTTTTTCAGAAGCATCTATGAATCTCTGAGATGGCCAGGGCCGGTCGGCCTGCCTTCTCTGTGCTGCATCTCCTTTCCCTCTCCCCTCCTGCACGCTTCCGAGACATCCTGTTCTCCCTTCCTGAGCGGCGGGATACCCTCTCTCCCCACTAACAACTGAGACTCCACAGCAGCAAGACCTGCACACACACTGAGACCTTGCTTCAAGCCACCAGGCTGGGGAWATTCAAAGGACACAGGCCCACATCCTACTCAATGGTTTGGATAAGAAGTTAGCAGCTGTCAGAAGTAAGGCAGAGTCAAAAATTAAACCTGGCTAYGCTTGAAGTTACCCACAAAGCACATAAGGCTTTATGGCTGTGACCTCTAATCTGTCCTCAGGCAACATTTCTCCAGGGACCCTTGATTAATTCTTCAGTCCCTTCCGTGGGCATGCTGGGCTCCACCCACCACCCATTTGCCAAGTCAGCTGGAAAATGTGCTGACGGCTTTGTCGGGGCAAGAACACCCTCCRACTCATTCCCAAGCTCCTGCTAGAGGGCTTTCCTGCGGAGACAGKGTGCTCTGTGAAGTGTCCTGCCCTCCAGGGACWCCTAACAGCCAACACCAGAARGTCCTGTCGCCACCTAGTGGTAGAGGCCAGGATGCTCCTTGACACCCTCCACTTGGCCAAGCGTCACTAGTGCCAGCCCTGGGCTCGGGTCAGCTAAATGAACAGGACGGACAAAGCAGGTGGCATGTCACCAGACACTGCCCCTTACCAAACAGTTTCACATTCTCGTAAGAAAATGTACCTGGTAATGCCTGAGGAGCATGAGGGACAGACAGGAAGCTGGACTAAGGAGGACCTTTGACTGAGCCTGGTCAGAGGTCGACATGTCAACAAACACTTCAGGGACATGAGTGAGCCTGTTGGAAAAGCAGTGGCTTAGGCTAAAGAGGACTTCACTAAACCAACTACCGTTTCCTAAGTGCCTCCTTGCTGGGCTCCCAAGCCATCATGGTGGGCACTGAGCAGGCCAAGGTCGGGGGCCGACACCTAAGCCCTGGTCCTGTTCTGTCCTCAGCCACAAGGCCGTCCAGCTTTCCTCGCTGCCCGGTGCTGGGGGCCCATGGCTTCTGCCAACACATGGGCCGGGGCGTGGCAAGCCCAGGGAGAACCTGCAGACGGACACAGGGACTTACCGTCCTGCTTGGGAGGCGGCTCTTTGGGGTCCTTCTTGTTCTTCCGGCCCTCYCTCCCAGGATGGTCGTCTCCCAAGTCTATGACAAGTTCACTCTCTGAATCCGAGTCCAGGCCCAAGTGCACCGTCGGGGAATCCGTCTCATCTTTGCCCTTCAGTTTGTCCTTGGCGGGATGCGGGGACGGCTTCGCTCTCTCRGCAGAGTCCCTCTCGGGCTCGGGGCTGGCCTTGGCGGCCACGGGCTCTGCTTTCTCGCCCACTGGAGACGCGCTCTTCGGCTCCTCGGGGACCTCCGCGGGGTTGGCGGGCTTGGGCTTTTTTTTGGCAGCGGGTGGCTCCTTGTCCAGCGCGCTGCCGTCCTTGTCCTCCGCGTCTTCCGGCTCGTTCTTGGACTTCTGCTCGTCCTCACTGAGGTACTCGCTGTCGCTGCTCTCCGACTTCTCGGAATCCTCCGAGTCGCTGTGCTCCACGGCCGTGTACACGTCCTCCGAGATTTCATTGATGCCTAAATTCAAGAGAGAAAACCCAGGCTGAGGCGCAGTCACGGGAAGTGCCGATGGTGCCCATGCCAAAGGCCGGAGGGACAAAAACACACTCAAATCGCATCACACTGGCGCGGGGGACGGGAGGAAATGGAAGCAGCGGCTGGACACAAGTGACCAGCGGGAGCCGTGTCTGCAGAGGCCTCGGGCCTTAGCCTTCAGAGGTGACCCGGGACCTCCCTACACATGATTAAACAAGCGAAGTCCACATCGCTGGTAAGAGAGGGAGAGGGCTGGAGGGACACAGGGACAAGCCACTCCGACCAGCCRACCTGCAGGTTTAAAAGTAGAGGCTCAGGGCTGGGGTCACCGCTCAGTGGTGGAGCGCTCGCCGCGCACATGCAAGGCCCTGGGTTCGACCCTCGGCACCACATAAAAATAAATAAATAAAATAAAACGTGCCGAGCCCATCTGCAACTAAAAAAACATTAAAAAAAAAAGTAGAGGCTCAGAGAATCACCTGTCCTAGGACACACAGCCGACCAGGAGACAAAGCAGAAGGC